GAGAGAATAGGACGCTTTGCAGGACTTTTTGTTGTTAGTATTCTTTCTTTATTGATTCGTCTGTGGAAATTATGGTCCCATGAAAAATCAAATCAAAACGGATATGTGTCGACGAGGTAAGCCAAATGCCATAGTAAAACAAATGGGTCGCCACCACTCGGCGATCGAGCAACACTTCTGTCACAAGTTTGTGTTGACTTCCATTGCTATAGTTATGAACCCGGTTTATGGATAGAATCGTAGTCAAGATTTATAGGGTTGTGACGGATCACACACTATGTATGTTCAGGGGAATAGCCCCTCATATCGCCCCGTATAACATTAATTAAGTACAGTCTTAGTCTAGAGTCACTACAGACTAGCCGGCGCTAGCCTCCTGAACCGGCTGAACGTGTACTGCTAGGCTGTAGACTGTACTGTCGTAGTTTTAGGCAGGCCTGTGGCTGTTGAGGAGTATCACAAAGCAAAGAGCAGGAGAGCAAGGCACTGGCATGTGAACTATTGCAAAATATGGAAATTGTCAGTTTCACATGCTATGGGCTATATGAACATGACTCAATGAGAGACATGGAACTAATTTGGGACATCCCTACCTTCTCTGGTTCTGAAACCATCATGTGCATTTCGAAGAACACTCCTGGTAACTTTGGACGCAAACATTTGACAACAGGGTGGCCAAACGTTAGGTTGGGTACAAAATGTCCATCCATGACATAGATAAGCACGTAATCCGTCGAAGGTGGTGAGAGGCATGAGGAAAGGTGGGTGGGGGAGGGGGAGAGGAGATCACTAGGCATGGAGAGTGAGAGGAAAGAGGAGGAGGGATGGGTGGGGGAGGGACAGGTCAGTCCGTTGGACACAGCTCTCAGCACGTTTGGTGAGCTGGACTGTGGTGAGAGTGTGGATGCTGTCGTGTCTCATTTCCCCAACTATGGGCCGGTGGAGGGACTGAGCACTGACGCAGGGGGCAGAGAGAGACTGCTAGATGATGGGGACATTGTAGAGGGGATGGGCGGGCAAGAGTTGAATCATGATAACTTTGAGGAGGTGGCCGGGCTAGGAGTGAATCAAGGTGACCTTAAGGAGGTGGGTGGGGTAGAGGTGAACCAAGATGACCTTGAAGAGGTGGGCGGGATGATTGTGACCGGCGATGTGGCGGTGAACGGCATATCTGAGGTGCTTGCTAAATGTCGTCCTGACCTGACGGATGAGGGTGGTGGTAGGTTTGTGGGGAAGAAGGCTGACCGCTCTGACCCGGTGGGTTCTGGGAGGAGGCGGGGACACAAAGATTCCAACTCCTGTCCTCAACACAGGGTCGGTGCAGGTGGAAAGAGGGTGCTGAACTCATCTGCGAAAGGTTCGGGGGACGAAAGCAGTGAAGACATTGATAGTGGTAGTTGTGGAAGTTCTACTGTGACGTCATCAAGATCTGCGGAGACGCGGGTAACGACTAGGACCCAGTTGAGGGTCAGCAGAAGTGTCGCGTTGACGAGAGGGAAACGGACTGGGGAGGTGGAAGACAATGTGGGGGTCCAGACTGGTCCGGGGATTGTGTCCAAAGGTTGTAAGAAACCTGATGTGAGGAGGGGGAGGAGAGGGGAGGCTGCTAGGAGGGGGAAGATTGGGGAGGTTGTGAAGGAAGGGGAGAAGGTTACGAGGAGGGGGACGAGAGGGGAGGTTGTGAAGAAAGAGAATGAAAGGTTGCCGATCAAGAGGGAGAGGGGAGGGAGGGGTAAGGGTGCGGTCAAGCTTGACAGGATCGGAAATAACAGGGCTCTCTCAGAGACTGTTGAGGAGTTGTCTGTGGTGAAAATTGAGGGAGAAGAAAGTGATGATGGTGCAGATGAGAATTGGGAGCTAGAGGGGAATGGAAGGGAGGAGACGGGGGATATTCCAGATGCAAAGCCCCGCGGTGTGAAGCGAGCCAGGAAACTTGTTGAGGCTAAGTGTGTGCGCTGTGAACACTGCGGTGAGGAGTTTCCCAGTCAGAAAGCTTACTTTGACCACCGTAAGGCAGAGGAGTCTTGGCAGACGTGTACCGTGTGTGGGAAAGTAGAGCCCTTCATGGCGCATTTGATTGTACACATGCAGAAACACAACCCCGTGAAAGTGGATCATCTGTCCGACGATGGGGAGGAGGAGAAGGAGAAAACGAGTAATGTTGGGGGAGGGGGGATGCTTGCACATACTGGACCATCAGGGGATTCCTGTGTTCCCACGGAACGGGTGGATGAAGCGAGTGAAGGTGTAGGGGGTGTCATGGAAACCCAGAACTCTGTAGCAACGAGAAAGATGGTTGGTTTACCGCAGTCAGAAAGTGCTGACCATAAAACTACTATTTCTGTGAAAGGAGAGAGGGACGGAAAGAATGATGGTGGACACAAGAAAGCGGAGAAGAGAAAGGGGAAGGAAAGTAAGAAAAA